TCAATGAAGCAGAGGAGATTGCAGTCCCGAATGTCTCTCTGGAACTTTATCCTGGCCCTGAGGTCATCAAGCTTGTTCTCCAGTGACTGGACGTTGGCGAGCAGGATGCTAGGCAGAGGTGTGCGGTGTGCACGGGCTCTCAGCCTGTTCCTGACGCCGGCACGTTTCCCTCGAGGCCGCCGCTTCACGTCGCGTCTGTTGTTCTCCCTCAAGATCTCACTCGGCCAGCTCAGATCCGGAGTTAAAAACCCCGAACTGTGAGTACATTGTACACCAATAGAAACAAGAGTGGCACTGTCATACCTAATGTACCCAATGGTGATTAATTTAACGATATAGAACGCAAAAATAAACTTTGAAAAAACCAAAACAAACGAAAGAGGTGGTCAGAGCAATCGTGACGGCAGCCGACCTCACTGCGCCATCTTGTCATAATTTTCTGATCACTCCATTGGCCTCTTGTGCATGGATGAAGCGGGGGGCTGGCGGGGCCGCCACTCCAAGTCCATTCGTGTACAGAGCGCACGTGACTCACTCAAAGTGCGTGGAGGAGGGAGCGCACAAGCCTCTGTCAGTCGGAAGTCACATTAAATCACAGACTCTGGGGTCTCTATGGGACTCGTGCGTCACCTGAGTGATGTTGCAGCAGGAGTACGTTCTTTCATCCTTGTTTGGCTCGTGGCCTGTCCAGTTTTACTTGGTGGGAACTTATAGAGAGACAGAAGGTAAGATAAAGACTAATTAAATACAAATAATTGCTAGACATGAATGGACAATGTACGTTGTTGTAAAGAGCAAATAATGTATTGTAAAGAATTAATTGTATTGTATTTTTCAAAACTGACTTTGGGAACCCCGGAGAGAAGTTAGGCCAATGAGAGCATTGATAGCCTGGGTAGAAGTTTTTTATTTTCAGTTGCTTCCTGCTTTGGCTAAACTACGTCTGTTTTAGGTCCGTACGGACGTGGTACCAACGATGGACATCAGGAGCTTCTTTCAACGACAAAACTCAGGTACATTTTTTCAAATATATTCAGTTTAATATCTGTATGCAAAACGAAAGGATATTTATTAGATCGCTATATTTACTTTACTTTAAATTTGAACAACCAAAGATAAAAAATGCATTTCAAATAAAGAAAAGTGAATGAACAAATTAATTTTCTGGCTGAGACATCAACGAGAACAGGCTATTTACTTGAAGAGGGCACCATACTTTAAACATTTTGCAATGTGTTGCCCAATTGCGGTGGCATTCTCTATTAAGAGAATTGTTGTTGCACTGCAGACGGTCCATCTTAGGAGACAAGCATCAGTAATGAATCAGATACAAGTTATAGTTTTGTATATTAGCTTTAAGACCTGCTGAACAGGTTAGTGATGACCTATGGCCACCCTAAACCCTACTAACACGTGGAGTTGTTGTTTCTTAACTGGCTGAGTTTGCATTTGAATCCCGTTCCTCCCTAACCCATGATAGACGGTGTTTGGGTCAGATAGAGAAAGGTGTGAAGTAGAGTGAAACTTTATGTCCTCGTGTTTTCTATGGGGGAACGCCTACTTTAAATAGAGCAGATGGCCCCCAGTTTCACCCCTCTAACGTCTAAAAGTTTACATGTAAGGAACCTTCCTTTATCTGATCCAAGCACAATACGGCCTGACGAGATCAACTACTCCTTCAGTGGGTAGGGGACGAAGTTTCAGACAATCAGACGGCTCTCTAGAGTATCCACGCTAGAACATCCCAGTTTGATCTGACAAAGGTGAGGGCTGAAATGTTTTCAAGGTTCAACAGACCAACGCTGTGTAGTTGTTTTAGTTCAGCTAAGGTAGAAACACGCTCCTCTTACTCCGAGTATGAAAACAATAATTCTACGCTACTTAAGTATACATACTGTGGTTCTTCCACATAGTTCTAATACAATAACTTTTTTCTGATTTTTCAGATGAGTCAAGAGAAATCGAGGAGGAAACAACACACCAAACTACAACAGTCTCGTGGCCGAAGGCTTCAAAACGGAAACGATCGGAGCCAGAGGTGGACTTGACTCCCACAGTCAGCATAATGTTGCAGCCGGTCAGAGTGAGACACAAGCTTATGAATGCAGCAGCAGCGACAGCGCTGAGGTTTCCACGGCTACTGTTGAGTATGCTAAAGACTCATCCACCGACAAGAACAATGACATTGAGCAACAGTGGCCAGAATGTTGGTCCCAAGCACAGATCCACTGTTTCTCTACAACGTGCAGGCGGCTACTCAGCAAAAATAAAAAGTTGGGCTGTAGTACTTGTAGCCACATAAATGCACGCATGGATAAGACAGAGAGGACAGAGAGTGTCACTGGAGTGGAGTCGGTGCTTAGTTTCTTCATATGGAAAGGACAAGGCTGCACAAAACAACTCGCTGCGAAAGAAAATTCAAGAACACAAAGACTCAAATTCACAAGAAAGCAGTTGAGATAAAAGAGAGGGCATCAGACAACACTAAACTGCAAAAGGCTGATCATACTTCCACTTGTAATGTGTTTAGAACAGCACACAGCATGGGCGTCCCTTCACAGATATGCCAGTTGATGTCCAACTGCAAGTTTTAAATGGAGTGAACATGGTGCGAGTTTTGCACTCAGATAACACGTGTGCAAACGTACTGGATCACATCGCAGCTGAAATGAAAGAGAAAATAGTTGATGACATTGTGATGAGTCGTAGAAAACTGTGTGTGCTCATTGATGAGTCCACTACAGTAAGTGGAAAGTCTGTGTTAGTCGTCTAAGGAGCTTTGAAAGAAAAGCGTCTGGACTTCTTTGAGTTGCTTGAAGACGTTTCACCTCTCGTCCGAGAGGCTTCTTCAGTTCTAAGGTCAAATGGTGGAGAGTCCCAGATTCAAACCCAGTGGGAGTTTCCCCCCGAAGAGGGAACAAAAGACCCCCTGATGATCTTCTACATAAACACATTGAGGGTGGGTGTGGGTCCTATTCAGCCAGAGTTTCGGGTGAGCTCATTGTGAATCCTGGCCCCACCCTATCATGTGAATTCCTGAGGTCCGATGGCCCAGGATATGCGTGGGCGTTGAGGCATCTGGGAAGGGATCTCCAAACTGGATTATAGATGGCAGACAGTTGGTGTCGTAGACCACCGCCTCTGTTCAAAGATGGTTGCTCACAGTGGACATAAATGGCTTCCTTTACTCCTCTTTCAAACCATCTGTCCTCTCTGTCCAAAATGTGAACGTTGGCATCCTCGAAAGAGTGACCTTTGACCTTTAGATGCAGATGGACTGCTGAGTCCTGTCCCGTGGAGGTGGCTCTTCTATGTTGTGCCATGCGCTTGTGAAGTGGCTGTTTGGTTTCTCCGATGTAGAGGTCTGGGCATTCCTCGCTGCACTGTACAGCACACACCACATTGTTCAGTTTGTGTTAAGGAGTTTTGTCTTTCGGGTGAACCAGTTTCTGTCTGAGTGTGTTGCTGGGCCTGAAGTACACTGGTATGTTGTGTTTGGAGAAAACCCTCCTGAGTATCTCTGATACACCGGCTACATAGGGGATGACCAGGTTGTTGCGTCTGTCTTTCTTATCCTCCCCCGCTGGTGTCTGGTCTTCTTTTCTGTGCATCTTTGCTGACTTTATAAACGCCCAATTAGGATAGCCACATGTTTAAGTGATTCCTTTATATGTGTGTGTTCCTTCTTTTTCCCTTCCGGCTTAGAGGGAACGTGTTCTGCCCGGTGGTGTAGGGTCTTGATTACTCCACGTTTGTGTTCCAGAGGGTGATGTGAGTCGAAGAGGAGGTACTGGTCCGTGTGTGTGGGCTTCCGGTACACTTCAATGTTGAGGTTGCCATTTTCTTCAAGGTTCACAGCGCAGTCCAGGAAAGGCAAGCAGTTGTCCTTTATGTTTTCCCTGGTGAACTTGATGTTTCTGTCCACGGCATTGATGTGCGTAGTGAAGGATGAGAGGTGAAACGTCTTCAAGCAACTCAAAGAAGTCCAGACGCTTTTCTTTCAAAGCTCCTTAGACTACAATGACCTGGATGACTGAGAACCTTCACAGACGTCTGTGTTAGTTGTGTGCCTTCGCTCAGCTGTAGCAGGTAAAGAGCCAGATACTATATTTGTGAGCTGATTGAGCTGCAGGGCACCTCAGCAAAGGAAATACCTGATGCACTGTTAGAATGTCTTCAAAAAATGGCTTTGACCCTTATTTTTTACAGGACCATTTGTTGGCCTTTGCTTGTTATGAAGCATCAGTGATGCTCGGGAGGAAAGCACGGGTCGCTGCACAGCTTTGTTGCAAATTCCCTAACTTGTTTGTCTGGCATGGTTCTAACCACAGACTGGAACTGGCAGCATGTGATGCTTTGACGGAGGCTGGGGGAATCAATCACTTCAACATTGTTTTAGATCAGCTGTACTCCCTCTACCATGCATCCCCAAAAACCAGAGAATTAACTGAGAGGGCTCGTTTTTGGCCAAACTAGCTTTTTGCATCTAAACTGTTTACCGTGGAACACAAGAGTAGGGCTGGCAGTAAAAGATAAGAAAGTCTGATAAAACGTGTTTTTCAAGGTGAAATGTCATATAAGAACGTTTTTGAGATCACTGCAGATCTTGATGCTCTCTGGCTTCTGTCTCCGTGAAACTTGGTGTGGAGTTATGTGACTATCCCGAGTCACGAGGCCTTGGTTTCAGAATGGGAGGATGGAGAGATTTCTGGCAGAAATGTGGCAAAAACACTCAAAGTGATGCTGCATGAAGAGGGATTTCTGATCGCTCTTGTATTTGTTCACCTTATTAAACATCTGACTTTAAACTGTGTTAAAAGAACGGTTCAGTCATTGTTCTCACCTGGTTCTTCTGGAATAACGCGTGGCTGAATCAGACATTCCCAATGGGGAGGGCAGACGGAACCCCGCTGCCTGGAACTTCCTACTAATTACCTCCACCTTCAGCACTATGGACAGAGAACCAGCCAGCGATTGGCTAATCGCCCCAGCGTCAGGGATTAGAGCGACCCGCCTATTGGTCTGACTCACAGAGACGGCGGTCTTCTGTTCCGTGATTGGTCGAGGGTCGGGACAGACGGGCTTTCAGTTTTTCGTTAGTTAATCTTTGCAGGATTATTGTTGATCTTGTCCAACAGTGAAGGCTACTGGTTCTACCGGTTTGGCTGCTGGTTCTGATCCGCGCAGGCTCCACGCGCAGCTGACGTCTCCGCGGGACAGCAGGACAGGAGCGCCGCTGCTCTCCGGAGAAGGTAAGAAGATTAGGAACCGTGGATCCGTTATTCCCGTTTATTTCCCCCTGCAAGCGCAGTCGCCCGGGCCCCAGTCTGCATGCGACTGCGTGTGTGTGTGCGCGCGCGTATGTGTGTGTGTGTGTCCGGTCGCCGGTTGTGTGTTAGATGACGGCGGGTGAAACCAGAAGGATTGAGACGTTCAAATCCGTTAAGATCAAAGTCAGCCGCGGCTCACGCGGTAAATCTCCAGCAGAGCCCTGCACGCGCCCTATTAACCGAATTAATCGGCCCGTTGGTGGTTTTGACTTCACCGATGACTGCAGATCAGTGCATTTGTAGACTAACCACTGTTCTCCTGCTCTGACAGGCGGAAGGGCCGATAGAGCGAGTCTGAACCCAGCGGCCAGATGGCTGGTAGGTCCCAACCTCACAGGGAGCCATGATGAAATCAACGCATTTCATTGGTTTTTGTTGGTTACAGATCCGAATTTCCCGCCACTGCCTGGATTCATTCCTCTTAAACCGTGTTTCTATCAAGACTTCGAGGAGATCCCTGAGCAGCATCGCAGCATGTGCAAGAAGATGTACCACCTGTGGATGTGTGAGTGCTGCAGGACACCATAACCTGCACGGCTGGGCTCAATTACAGGTTCAGCAGAAGTGACGTCAGTGGGCTCTCACAAGATCAAACACAATATTCAGAGAGACTTTACTGCTGTTTCAGATGCTGATAGACAAAGGCTTCATGCTGCATGTTCAATGGTTTATCCTGTCTGTTGCTGCAAAATCCCAAGAGTTGTGTGCAAACACATCAAGATGTTGGAGGTGTGAGTGGAGCAGCTAGGGCAAAACAGTGTTTCAACATGTCATCCACGTTTATTACTCTCCGATATGCAGCGTGATGCATGGTGGTAGAGCTGTCCTCTGATGCTCCCACCTGTCAGTCCCAGCACACAAGGCAGAGGACAATGGGACAGAAGTTAAGTCGAGTCCACATGTCCCTGCAGGTAAAGCCCAGAAATGAGTCAACATGGCCAAGAGAACACTGTCTTCAGTCAGAAAAGGGTAGAATGCCTTCTCCGAGTCAGGGATGAGGTCCTGCCTCAAGTGGAGGAGTTTAAACACCATCTTACATTGATGATCTTCTCAGTCCCTACACCCCCAGCAGGTCCCTGAGGTCCAGTGATCAAAGCCCACTGGTTGTGCAGCACCAGGCTAAAGGTCAAAGGTGACAGATCATCTGCTGCTGTGGCCCCCAGACTCTGTACACCCCCCCCCCCGAGCCTGAGATCAGTGGACTCAGTGGTCTCCTTTAAACTCACCTGTTTGGTGGGACCTTCACCTCCCTCTCCGTGTTCTCCTCTTATTCCGCCTTTCCCAGGATCCACTGGTTTCCCTCTTCACTTTCTTTCTCCCTCTCCTTAAAAATGTTCTCCATATAAACATGTTTTTAATCCTTTTTAAAACTCTTTATACTTTCAATTCTTTTGTTTTTGTGAAGTGCCTCGTGATTTATCTTGACAGGCGCTAGAGAAAAGGTTGCCTTCTAAGTATCTCGGGGTCTTGTTCACGAGTGAGGGAAAACTGGAGCGTGAGATCGATAGGTGGATTGGTGCTGCATCTGCAGTGATGTGGGCGTTGTACCGGTCTGTCGTGGTGAAGAGAGAGCTGAGTCAGAAGGCAAAGCTCTCAATTTACCGGTGGATCTACGTTCCTACCCTCACCTACGGTCATGAGCTTTGGGTAGTGACCGAAAGAACGAGATCACGGATACAAGCGGCCGAAATGAGTTTTCTCTGAAGAGTGGCTGGGCTCTCCCTTAGAGATAGGGTGAGAAGCTCGGTCATCCGGGAGGGGCTCGGAGTAGACCCGCTGCTCCTCCACATGGAGAGGAGCCAGTTGAGATGGCTCGGGCATCTGGTCAGGATGCCTTCTGGACGCCTCCCTGGTGAGGTTTTCCGGGCACGTCCAACTGGGAGGAGACCTAAAGGTAGACCCAGGACACGTTGGAGGGACTATGTCTCTCACCTGGCCAGGGAACGCCTTGGGATTCCCCCGGAGGAGCTGGCCCAAGTGGCTGGGGAGAGGGAAGTCTGGGCCTCTCGCCTTAGGCTGCTGCCCCCGTGACCCGACTCCGGATAAGCGGCTGAAAATGGATGGATGGATGGATGGATGGATGAGGCAGTGTGCACACATTCATGCATCTTTGTGTTTTTTACATGTTAGTTTTCACCTCATTTGTGAAAATCTCTGATTTGAAAGTTTATTACTGAAACCATCTTAGCCACCCAGCCGGTGCCTACCCTCGTACCTTTAATGAGATCGTGTCCACTTTCGCATGCACACATATACAGGTCTTTTGTCTTTTGTGGCATTTTTTAATCTTTCCTGATGGTTCTCATAGTGAACAGTGCCACACTGATGGTGAACCTCATTGGCTGCTTTGCTTGGATGTTTGGTGGAGGCGGAGTCACCAACTTTGGACTGGCCATCATCTGGCTCCTGATGTTCACCCCCTGCTCCTACGTCTGTTGGTTTAGACCCATCTACAAAGCCTTCAAGTGGGTGGAGAACACACTCACGGTGCCTTTACCTCCTGAGGTCTTTTGCTGTTTGAACAACCCTGTTAAAGTTTACAAAAACAGCTCAGCACTCAACCTAATTAGCACACTTGTAAGTTTCAGATGAGAAAAATAAATCCACGTCAGCCAAAAATCATCTGTGTTCATTTTAAAATGATCATTTAGTCACGAGGAGAAACTGAAAAAGAAGCAAGTGCTTGAAGGAGAAGACATGTCTGATCTTTTCCTCAGGACCGACAGCTCTTTCAACTTCATGCTGTTCTTCTTTGTGTTCATGGCCCAAGTTGGGATCAGCGTCATCCAGACCATAGGAATCCCAGGATGGGGGGTGTGGTGAGAATCCCGACACTTCACACACGCTTGCTTGGCCCAAAGACCTCGTTGTAATCTTGATCTTTGATATTCAGGTTTTAACTTGAAACGGCGACTTCAGCCATCAGCTAAATAGTAAAAGCATTCGTGATTTAAGTCGTCTGACTTTGTTTTAATAACTGACCCTGAAATAAAGAATTATTGCTTTTTTAACGCGTTTCAGACAGAAATGTCTTTTTTCTGTAAGAGCTGCAGGAAACCCTTGAAGATGTGATGATTATGATTATTATTATTATTATTGAATCCACATCACGAGCCGTTTGCTTTGGGACCTTCTGGTTTGGACGTCATCTTAGTTTGATGTGAGATTTCTGAAATCTCAGGTTAAATACATGTTCTTTCTCTTTTTGATGTATTTTTAATCGTTGCACCTCCTGGGGAAGAACTCAGCCCAACTCCACCTCTAAAACTGTGTTGATAGGTTTGCAGCTGTGAGATTTAATAAGGTGTCCAGAAATGTCTCCGTTTATTTGATCTAGTAAAAGAGATGACAACATTTCTCTTTATTTACCTCCGAGTGCAAAAGGACATTTATAAAGGCTAAAAGTCTTTTTCCTTCAGCTCTAAAAACAGAAATCCTGCTACTTTCATCAAAACGACAGCGAACGACCTCCGATTTTACCCCACATAACTTTTACGATGGTGCTGTTATTGGATTTTGAGAGGTCGTTAACTAATCCTGCAAATGTCATCTGACTCAGGCTGATGATCGGAAATTAATATTATTATAGCCTCCATAAAGTTTGGAAATGTCACCATGTGCGTCCAAATGTTCCCTAGCATAAAACTTGAACATTTTTATCACAGTAGTTAAGTCTGCGGAGGTGTTAGCATCCAGATGTTCGGCTGCTGCAGGATTTTCCAGCTCCTGCTGTGTTTGGACTGTTTTCAGCTTCGTTGTTGTTGACATCTATGTCTTTGTTTTTCAGTGGCTGGCTGGCTACCATCTCCTTCTTCAGCTATAATATTTTGATAGCGATAATCATGCTGATCCCTACAATCATGTTCACTGCGGTGGCATCGCTGTCCTTCATCGCATTGACCAGGGTAAAACACACAGACCTAGAAGTCTCTCGGACCAAATCTTTATGAGGAATGATTCAAAGCAAAGATTTGGAACATGAGAGTCATTGTGACACATTCTAAAAAAAAAAACAAAGCCTTAATGTGAATAATTAGTGACAAATATTGATTTTGATGCATCAATTTGTTCATGTGCTTGAAGATCCATAATTTCTACCGTGGTTCTGGAGCCAGCATGTCCAAAGCTCAGGAGGAGTGGTCCACAGGAGCCTGGAAGAACCCTCATGTCCAGGCAGCAGCCCAGCAGGCGGCCATGGGGGCAGCAGCTGGAGCCATGCAAGATCAGTTCTCCAGCCCTCAGTACAACCAAAACCAGATGTAGCATCAAGAATGGTGCAGATGTGAGGCCAAAGTCTGAGTTTGAAAGATTAAACCGTCTCACATCAGTAAGTTTGAGTCTAGAACAACAAAACAAAGCAATAAACACCTGGGAAGCTGTTTTCAAGGCCATGCAGCAGAATAAAGGTGTTTTAGAGAGATCTGTATTTATATACTTTCCCTTTGGACATAAAATAGTTTTAATACGTGTTACTGTAGTACTGTAGAGGTACTGTACTAGCTCAGTATCAGAGCTATGTGCTGCCTTAGTTATCTGCAGGTTAGAAATGAAACCAAAGACCAATCCTCTCTTTACTTTTTCATACACTAGCTATGCAACTATGATAAATGCATGACTATGTTTTCATGTACTGTTTGAATGATGGGATATTTAAGAAATGTTAATATTTCTTTCATTTTACCTCAAAAGGAAACCACAACCTTTAATGTTACTCTGCTAGACCTCAGTACACAATGATTGAGTTAATTTGAGTTATTGCACTGAGAAATAAAGAAAATACAGCCATGCAGTATTATTACAGGTATTACTACAGGTGTTATTACAGGTGTTATTACAGGTATTTTACAGGTGTTATTACAGGTATGATTACAGGTATTATTACATGTGTTATTACAGGTATGATTACACGTATGATTACAGATATTATTACAGGTGTTATTACAGGTATGATTACAGGTATGATTACAGGTGTTACTACAGGTGTTATTACAGGTGTTATTACAGGTATTACTACAGGTATTATTACAGGTATTATTATATGTGTTATTACAGGTATTATTACAGGTGTTATTACAGGTATGATTACACGTATGATTACAGATATTATTACAGGTGTTATTACAGGTGTTATTACAGGTATGATTACAGGTATGATTACAGGTGTTATTACAGGTGTTATTAAAGGTATTACTACAGGTGTTATTACAGGTATTATTACAGGTATTGTTTAGGTACATATCTGATCCAATTGAACTTGAATTCAGTTGAATCAGTATGTGAAAAACACCAGAGTTACGTCAGATGTTTAAACGTGTTCAGAATTCTAAAAAGGTTAAAAAGCAAACTTGTCTTCATGTTCAGACTCAAGTTTCACTGAAAACATGAAAGTTCTCTGGTGGTAGAACCTGCTTCTGTTGTTTGGCTATCTGACCACCGAGGGGCGCTGATGGACCTTGCATGAAATAAAGAGATCCAGCAAGCTCATTAAACCCCCCCCCCCCACACACACACACACGCACACACACACACAGATGGTGATGAGCTACATTGTAGCTACAGCTGCCCTCGGGCGCACTGACAGGCGAGGCTGCCACACAGGCACCACAGGTCCCCTCCACCACCACCAGCAGGTTAGGAGGGTGAAGTGCCTTGCCCAAGGACACAGCAGATTTTTTCCCTGCAGAGATCCTGCAACCCTCCAGTTGCTGGACAACCCGCTCTTCCTTCTGAGCTGCTGCTGGGGCTTTAGGCTGCAGTCATCAGCGTTATTGATGGGTTGGACTCCACCATTCTGGGATTTTCAGATGAATAAACTTTCATTTTCTTAGCAGCATGGTTTTTTCTAAGAAGCTATTTGCTTGAGTGTTTATAATGTTTGCTCCATTTAATCAAGACATTCTACTAACTCATTATTTAGGGCTTTCTATTGTTTCCAATACATTACACACAGAAAATGATACTTTAGTCACAAATGAATGCTGTTAAAATCAGAAATCAAAAGCAGAAGTTACATCCTCTTCCTTTAGGGGGCAGTGTTGGCCTAGTGTGGAGGCCCTATTCCCCCCAGCCTGCCCACAGAAGAGAGGACACAACATGGCGCTGCTTCCTTTTGGTTTGCAGGTTTTTATATGAAAATAAACGAAACCTAAAGATGGAGTGATTGATGCAAAAGTTGTAGCCCCAATTTATATACTACAAATAAAAATATTTATTTAGCGATTCACTTCTTACTGGAGTCTGTGGTTGTTCTCATCTCTACTTTTTACCTCTCCTGCTGTAAGACTGATTAAACATCTCATTTGATCAGAGGCTGGAATTAGTTTAGAATATAGTTTTCCACACACACACACACACACACACACACAGTTCAATTCAAGTTTATTTATAAAGCACCAAATCACGACAAGAGTCGTCTCAAGGCACTTCACATAATAAACATTCCAATTCAGGTCAGTTCATTAAGCCAATCAGTAACACGTTTCCTATATAAGGAACCCAGCAGGTCGCATCAAGTCACTGACTAGTGTCAGAGTCTTTACAGCAATCCTCATACTAAGCAAGCATGCAGCGACATTTGAGAGGAAAACTGCCTTTTAACAGGAAGAAACCTCCAGAGGATCCTGGCTCAGTATAAAGCTTGGTTTATGCTTGATGCATTCACTTTCCGCGCGGTGATGCGGCTCGCGGCTGGAACGCGCTTCACAACTCACAGCTTTTATGGTTCGTGCGGCTCGTCTCTGCGGTGAGCCAATATTCTCCCAAACTGTAGGGGGCAGCATGGAGCTCTATGGCATGCACCCAACACTACACCATAGTAGAAGTAGAAATTACTGTTGACAACATGGCATTCCAGCATTTTTAACAGCGTCCTCGTCTTTTCTGACAGTGCGAGCTATTTCTTTCCAGGAATTATTAACAACATGTTGATCACGGTGATCTCTGAGAGCTGAATCATACACATGTCTGTATTTACCAACCTCTGCCATACTAGTTCTTGCCGGTCCGCCATGTTTTTCCGTGTCCGTCCGTCCGCGTGGTTAGAAATTTTCCGAGGTGCGCGTTACGGGAATCTTGGGCTGTGCGGAGGCGCAGTGGAGGGGCGTGGTTGTTAAAATGACCCAAAATGATGCAACTTTTCCGCGCAGAGTCGTGCGGACCTCGCGGACACGTCAAGCATAAACCATCCTTAAGCAGCCATCCTCCACGACTCACTTGGGATCGAGAAGACAGAACACACACACACACACACACACACACACACACACACACACACACACACACACACACACACACACACACACACACACACACACACACACACACACACACACACACACACACACACACACACACATATAACCCCCTCTGCCTGCTTAAAAGCAGTGATGGAACATACTGCGGTACCACACCCTCGTGAGCATCAGTTGAACAGTATTATACTGCAGATAGTGTGTCGCTTCAAAAATGGTGAGAAAAAGGCCATTAACAATGGAAGAGAGACAGACCTTCATAAGACTTAAATGTAGGTCTTTCCTACAGAGAAAGGTGTTGGTGAGAAAAGTTTCCGTCACCATCAGAAGGCACTCTGGGGCAAACTCTGACAGGAAGAGGTTTGGCAGACCCAAAGCCCCAACTGCATCAGAGGACAAGTTTCTGAGAGTTACCAGCTGATAGAGGGCTCACAGGACAACCGCTTCAAGCACAGTTTAATAGTGGTCCTAGAAAGCAAGTCTCAGTTTCACCTGTGAAGAGAAGACTTGGAGCTGCAGCTTTGACAGTCGAGTTGCAGCAAGAAAGCCACCGCTAAGACGTCAGAATAAGAGAAAGAGGCTTGCCTGGGCCATGAAACACCGCCACTGGACTACTGAAGACTGGAGGAAGGTTTTATGGACTGATGAATCCAAATTTGAAATCTTCTGTTCATCATCAGGATCTTTGTACACTGTACATATATATATATATATATATATATATATATATATATATATATATATATATATATATATATATTAAAAGTGTAAAAATCTATTTTTGGCATATTTTATTACATTTTAGAAGCTTAACACTTTATAACGATTTTTATGGCTGGTGTAAGTAAAAGGTCTAATTCATTTATTCTGAAGCTAATTATGCTTACATCAGAGCACAAACAACCTGCAGGTTTTCTGACTCGCAGAACAACCAACAGAGGAGCTGTGGGAAATAAGGCACACCTACAGGCCACGGCGTGGCTAAAGTTGAGTGTGCACAGTGAGTTGTTGTACTTAGGTTCTCCAGAGAGACCAAAATAAAGTGCTCTTTCATGCTGTTGAACACACACACACACACACACACACACACACACACACACACACACACACACACACACACACACACACACACACACACACACACGCACGCACGCGCGCACGCACGCACGCACACACACACACACACACACACGCACGCACGCACGCACGCACGCACACACACACACACACACACACACACACACACACACACACACACACACACACACACACACACACACACAGGAGCAGAAATGCAAAGCCAGTGACTTAAGTGTGCATCCCCGTGTGCGCACACACACGTGGATTTCAGATCCTGACACTAAACATTTCTGTGATGACGGATTTCTGAGCTGCAGACCCACCCAGACATCCCGTGGGGAACAAAAACATAACAGAACAGAGTAGAGATGAGGGGGACGTCTATAGATAGTGCTGTTCTCACATTGTAATTTGCACCACAGAAGATTCTCCTGGGGGGGACTTCCACATAAATGTTTAAACAAATAAGTTTACAAAATGACCCAAGGAAAACGTCAATATGGAAAGGAGTTGTTTAACTTTGCTCCTGTGCATCTGCAGTCTGCAAATTGGGTAATCGATGATTGGTGCAGCTAATAATTGGCTGAAAAGTAAGAGGAGATAGCAACCATGTTCATGATTACTTGATAAATTCTTCACTACATTTTCTGTTAAGTGGTTGCTGCTAATGGCACTAAAGTCATGAGAGGTCAGGTTACTGGTGATGGTAAAACTAAAACCAAACACTAGTGAATGTTATCCTTTCACAAGTTAAGGTGATCACAACACAGCAATAAAAGTGAAACCAATGAACAGGAACAGGAACCTGCATGATGACAGAGGAGTGGTTTAAAGAAATCAGGTGTAACTAATAGACAGAAACTGATAGAAAAGCCCATGAGCCGATGAGAGTGGCTAAGAACTCAGACTGAAGAAAATCTTATATTTTCTTTTATCACTCAGGGGGAGTTAGGCACTGACAATTAGGCACTGACAGTTAGGCACTGACAATTAGGCACTAACAGTTAGGCACTGACAGTTAGGCACTACAGTTAGGCATTGACAGGCACTGACAGTTAGGCAATGACAGTTAGGCACCGACAGTTAGCCACCGACGGTTAGGCACGACAAGCACCGACAGTTAGGCACAAACAATTAGGCACTGACGGTTAGGCACCGACGATTTGGCACAGACGGTTAGGCACAGACGGTTAGCCACCGACGGTTAGGCACCGACGTTAAGCACAGACGGTTAGGCACTGACGGTTAGCCACCGACGGTTAGGCACAGACGGTTAGGCACCGACGGTTAGGCACTGACGGTTAGGCACGACAAGCACCGACAGTTAGGCACTAACAGTGCCTCTCGTAACCCCCTGTACACTACATGACTGCTCAGCGCAAAACTCGCCCCGATGTCGTGGATTCTCGCACGACTGGAAAATCGGCTCAAAAAAGTGAAAAAGTCGCACAGTGTACGCCCGGCTTTAATGGATAAATATAACTGAGTATCGTCAGCATAACAGTGGAAGTTTATCCCATGCTGTCTAATAATTTTACCAATTGGGAGCATATATATAGTAAAAAGAATTGTTCCAAGCACTGAACCCTGTGGTACTCCGCAAGTAACCCTGGAGTATGAAGATGATTTGTCATGTACATTTACAAAATGAAATCTGTCAGACAGGTAGGATTTAAACCAGCCTAACGCTGTTCCTTTGATCCCTACAACATGTTCAAGTCTTTCTAAAAGAACATGGTGATCAACTGTGTCAAAGGCAGCACTGAGATCTAACAAGACTAGAACAGACACAAGATTCTTATCTGAGGCCATGAGAATATCATTTGTAACTCTCACTAATGCAGTTTCAGTGCTGTGATACTCTCTAAAACCAGACTGAAATTCCTCAAACAGAGCATTAGTGTTTAAATGCTCACATACTTGGATGGCCACTATTTTCTCCAGGACTTTGGATAAAAATGGAAGGTTAGATATTGGTCTATAATTCATTGGGTCATCTGGATCCAGAGAAGGCTTCTTAAGTGAAGGTTTGATTACAGCAACCTTAAAATCTTGTGGTACAAACCCATTTACTAAGGATAGATTGATTATATCTAGAATGGGGGCAGTAACCAAAGGAAATGCATCTTTAAATAATTTGGTTGGGATTGGATCCAAAATGCAAGTTGAAGGTTTAGATGAAGCTAATATTTTTGATAACTCTGAAAGCTCAACTGGATCAAAACGGTTCAAGCACAGATGAGGTTCTACAGTCACCTCTGATGCTGCCTCACTTACTGAGGAAGAAGAAATCACATTAGGGAGGATGCTAAAGATTTTTTTTCTAATAGAATTAATTTTACTTGTAAAAAATCCCATGAAGTCATTACTGCTGAGGGCTAAGGGAATAGATGGCTCAGAGCTATGATTCTGTGTAAGTTTAGCAACTGTACTGAAAAGAAATTTAGGATTATGCTTACTCTCCTCAATTAATGCTGAGAAATAAACAGTTCTAGTTTGTTGAAGCTTATTTTTATAAAGCACAAGACTATTTTTCCAGTATAGGTAGGCCTCCTCATGGTGCGTAGAGCGCCATGTTCTCTCCAATTTCCTAGAGTTTTGTTTTAAGGCTCGTAAATGAGAATTAAACCAGGGAGCCAACTTCCTGTCCCTAATTACCTTCTTTTTTAAAGGGGCAACATCATCTAATGCCACACGTAAATAGGAATTAACATGATGAACTAAGGCATCAATTTGTGAGGGGCTAGAACTGAAAATATTGCCCTCTGTTACGTTCCTCTGAGATGCTGAGGACAGTAAAGATGGAACAGTTGATTTAAAAGATGCAACTGCGTTGTCAGATAGAGACCGACTATAGTGAAATTTACTTTCATGTCTCGAGAACTCAGTTATAAAAAACT